TTTTTTTTTAATGCTAAGTGAATGCACTGCTAAAGAATAAAAAGGTGTGCTTGAAGGATTTGGCTTCCGTACTTTAGCACTGGTCCTCAGATTTTTAGGTATTTTGAAGTATTTCAGAACAGAATAAAATGGTGTTTGCTAGAGCTTGAGAGAACAGAGCTTTTATCTTTTCTAACATGCTGCTGGTGTTGCTTTCTGGAATCTTACTCACTCCYGATAAACTTAAGGGAGGTGCTGAAAATACAGTACCACATAACTCTGTTGATACACCTAACTGCCTAAAGCAAGTGGCAAAGTTGCAAGATACATGAGAGATTAGATGCTTGAATTAGGTGTAATGGAGACCATAAAATGGAAGATTATGCCATCAAAAGTCAGTACTTGGTATGGAGTCTTGTTGAGGCACCAGAGGCGTGATTAAACAACAGGCAGGTATGTGAGAAAACTACTGTTAGTCATAAAAAAAAAAAGTAATCTTGAAGATGTGTAGAAGGATTCAGCAGAATCTGGAAAAGCCCAGGAGGCATATCAAGCAGATAACCTCATGAGTTGTGCATTTGAGAGAATGCTTGTGCTCGGCTTCACTAATACGTTAGGAAGGAAGATAGCTTGTACTCCATCCAAAGTTAAAAGTGAGAGAGAATGGGTGAACTAGAGATTTGATCAAATTTATTTTATCATTTAAGCAGTAGTCCTTCAGTTTCAAATTTAAGAAAAGTGAGAAGAGAGTTTCGTAGGTAATGTGTTGTGCAGAAATGGAATTTGTAGACCGGATCGGCAGTTAAAGAAGACTGGGAATACATGCCTGTTATTGCATCCGTTTCTTCGGAAGTCTTGGAGAAAATATCTGAARCAAGAGAGAAGATAAAATGCCAAGAAGCAGAAAAAATGCACTCAAGGAGCCAGTGATACTGCTGACTGCTGTAGCTGAGYGTTGCTGTCCTGATGTTTGTCACCATTACCACTGGCTTGGACGTAGAGAGAGAAAATAYCAGCCTACACATGCAAAGAAAACTGAAGTTCAGGTGTCTGGTCCTGTAGTGGAGTAGAAAACCTTAAGTTGKTAGACGTCTTCATTCTCTATAAAGTTTGAAGCATGATACGTAGCTGAAGTTTTACACAAGCCCAAATTTAATGGTAGTCCTAAAATCAGGTCTCATACTACTCGTGTGTGTTCTGAATGTTTGGCTTTCAAGTGTCATGAATGTGGATTTTTAGCAAGGGAAAGATTAAAATAAATGTTCATTTTCTCCTCTGAAAACTAGGGTATTTAATGTTAGTGATTATATTCTGTGGGAAAGATAAATTTTTAAAGGAAATTTTCAGTGCMGCTACTCAGTAGCTGCCAGTTATGAAAAAAATGACTATGTTGGTACTTATGCTTCAGTACTTCTGCAGACTGCCTAGCTTGTTTCAGTGTCGTGTAAATGAATGGAAAATCTAAAGAGCATGAAAGGGAAACAGTGTGCCAAAAGATAGTAGTATTTGTTCAAAGAGATGTGCTAAAGTATCTTTATATACTGAAGCCAGTGTAAATACTTTTGTAGTTCTGAGGTATATGTGCTTGTTGCCAAAATTGTCAGTGTAGAAGGAAATGAGGATTTTTTTCCTTGAGGTATGATTATATGGTGACAAAATTTGTGTTCCCCATTGTAAACAGGTGTTAACTACAAAATCATGATACAATACACATGACTGTCAGTTTCCAGCAGAGAAACAACTTGTTCCTGAATATGCATTGCAGAGATGTGTCCTTTCTGACGCTCCCCCCCCCATCCCACAGCTTTTCAGGTGGTGAAATCTCAGCTATTAATCATTTGCCAGAGAAAAGACTGATTATGAAACAGAGGTTGTATTAATCTCTTGTCTGCTACTAGAGTTTCAAGTGACTAYTTCTTTCTGTGGCTTCCTATATTTAGATGAAAACATGAGATTTCTGTTTTCAGTGTCATGTTTAATTCTGACAGTTTTGAAAGCAGTTGTTGCAATTCTAAGTAAAACACTGGAATTTCTCCTACCTGGTTTTTTGTACAGCCCATGCTATTGTAAGTCTTAATACTTTGAGAACAGTCCTGTTGGTGAAATGTTAGTTTTTGGTTTGAAACTTGGTTAATACATTCATTTTAAGTAACTTTTAAGTGATACTGGAATAAACTCATAGAGAACATTTTTTACACTATTTGGGATTCTGGAAATTACGAAATGTGGAATTTCTTCTTCCTAAACCAGCAATTTAAATACCGCATTTAACAGTTTTAGAAATAAAATTTGACCTTGTTGCATGTCTTTTTTGATTAAACAAAAGAAGGCTTTGTGTGCATTCTCAGGCACTTACASTTCAGTGTCACGTAGATTTGAATCAAATGATCCATTTTTAACTACCTTGTTTATAACTGTTGAACTGTGTCTTTAAAGTAAATACCTCAGGGTGAGATAATACAGGTGCAGATGGTAGAATCAGTACTTTTAAGTCCACCTTTAACATTCCTTGGTGCTGTTGAAGGGTTTTTCATTACTTTGAAATGAAGTAATAGGGCTGCTGGGTGCACAGAGAGGTTGCCAAGGTCTGGTACCACACTTACCTTAATTTCTTYTTGGGAGTAGAAGTCTTCTCCCATTATCTCTCTGGGAATAATTTGTAGAACATTATGTACCAGTTTGTTGTCATACCGTGTGATCATGAACTGCACCTTTGATTTGTCCTGTTTCCCACTGCCCTAAGATGCTCCACTTAATTTCCAAGTGCTACAGTTAATCCATTTAAAAAAATAGATGCATTTTTCTATTTTTTATGTTAGGTACACATTTCTAAATTTCTTTCACTTTCTAGCTGCTTTATTATAAAAAATAGATAAAAGAACTGTTTTTATGTACCTTTTAAATGATACGAACAATTTTGTAAGTGTTCGGAGGAGCCACACATAATTTTTACTTCAATAGCTGAATTCCATAAACAGGATGAGTAGGCAGCAAATTTACAGACATGAAAGACATTTAAGGATGGGTGCTGCAATTTAAAAAAGGGAAAAAAACCCACAACTGAAAACCCTCAAACAAAACAGGAGAAAAAAAACAAATCCAGACCAGATTTTTCAGCTATATGATGTTCATGAGAGGAAGAAGAATATGACATTAAAATTTGGGAAATAATAGAAAGAGAAGATTGTCATGATAGATTATAATCTGTTACTGTATTTAATGCCTAATATGCATTTTTCCCCCCACAGAAATTAGCAGAGTACGGAAAGACATGTATAACGACACATTAAATGGTAGTACGGAGAAGAGAAGTGCAGAATTACCAGATGCTGTGGGACCTATTGTACAGTTACAAGAGAAACTATATGTGCCTGTAAAAGAATACCCAGATGTAAGTATATCTTTTTAGTCCCTAAATTATTTTTTGAYCCTGGTGGTCGTCTTAAAGTGTAAATTTCGTGTGATGCTACCCTGAGATCACACTGAGTTGCTTTGGATACTAGGGAATCAGTTTCTATTCCAGTTGGCTTGTTTTGCAGTGAGTGTAAATGGAAGAACGTTGTATTAAGTACCAAACTAGTATGGCTTGCTAAGCTGTAAATGTAAGATCAAAATTATCATGTTCAGTATTTTCCATCATGAGACAGTTGTGAAGTGAATTTTATGAGGAAAATGATTATTGGAATGATGTTTTTTCCTCCTGATGTGTCTGTACAAGCCAACTGAAGAATGCTTAAGAGGCCCTTTTGAGACCYTTTGGAGACTGTAGTTAGTCTCGACTGCTGTTTGTCCCATACCTGTGTAACCAGTTCTGTTGCTTTCGAAGTGTCTTTATCTCAGGGTTGGTGTCCTGTTCTCTCCCATTTCCCCGCCCTGCTTAAGCAAAACCCTTTGCTTGCCTGTCAGTGTTGTGTTTTCCATGGGGTGTTCATTTCTATAGTACACTTACCTTTTGAGGGAGAATGGTTTCATTTAGCTAGAATTGTTTTGAATTTGTCTAGTCTGAAAGATTGCTAAAAACTACTTCTAAAAACAGACCTGTCAAAATTTACTCCAACTACCCGAACCATTTTCATTGATCACTGACAAAATAAGAAATTATGTTATTCTTCCCTAAATAGAATTGAGACGTCCTGTTGTGGTAGAGGAGTGTAGGGTCCAAGTAAGGGATTTGCACATTAAAGTGATGCAAAGTGGAAGAAACTACAGAACAGCAAAAAATGGAGGTAACGTTTGTGTATTTCTGTGGCTTTTCTTCGTATGGTAATTAGATTAAGTTTGCCAGAATGGAGTTTTATTATTCCAATGCTGCTAAGAGCATACAGGCTTCTAAATCTCATTATGCTGTGCTCCATTAAGAAAATTAGGTGCAAGTCCTTATTTGGAACAGAATATTTAGACAAATGTCTTTTTCCCTTTCAAGTTTTCACAAAGTTGTTTTGCTTTGGGGTTAAAATACTTGTACTAGGGAAAGGGTTCAAAGAATTTGTCCTGGCACTAAGGACATCTCTCTCTTCTTGCATTGCATTTTTCTTCCAAATATATATATATATATATATATATATATGTGTATATATATATATATGTGTGTATATATATATGTGTATATATATATATGTACATGCATACATATCCCCACACCAAAAATACTGATTCCTTTGAAACCCCTTGACATTACAGATTTTTGAGAGGAACTGTGCAATGTAATTGCTCCACAGAGCCATTTAGGTGGCTCTGGACTTACTGCCTGTATATATCTTAGTTACTTAAATCTTGGTTTTGTAACTTGATGGTGATCTTAATGAAGAGTTGCTTTAGTTATGAATTSTAATTTTTGCAGAACTTGATGCTTGCTGTATGAGGATTATGAGTAAGAAAAAAGGTGTTGGATTTCCCTTAAATATTAAGCTGCTGTTCTAGAAATCAGGGGTTTAGTAGCTTAGCTCTTCACTGCCAGTTAACTGTGAAATACGGTGTAAATAAGCAGGAAGGAGTTTGTCTGTACTTACTATCAAAGCACTTGTGTAATGATTTCYCTGGCTACTGCAAGTTCTTTGTGTGCCTTCTGTAGAATGGCCTTAAAGTAGTCACTAATTTATTTTAATAAACTCKTACGCATTCAGAAGTTGGAGAAGCTTGTGATTTGTACACACGTGACTGGGACTAAAAAGGATGTTGGTTCTTGTGAGATGATGTGAAGTGTGTGCTAGAAAATGTGCAGTTTCTGCCACTGTTGTGAGGCCAAGCCCAGTGTTCTCTGTGTGCTCCTGTATTTGTTCATTGCTATTTGGAATGGGATTTGCATGGCCTCAATAATTGGCCAATCAACTAGATTATGCCACTGCATGCAAATAAAAAGCTATGATTTGGTATGTAGGCTCTTCCTAAAATCCTTCTGAAAGTTAGAAATTAAGTAACGCGCTTTGAATTCAGGCTAGCACAGTATTCAGAAGCTCTGGAGTACACTGACTCCAACTTGTTTAAAAAAAAAAAAAGACAAGTGTAAGTCATTTGCAAGTAGTAATTTTACTAGTAAAGGTAAATTTGTGTGTAAAGATAAAAATTATCACCTCTGATAATTTTCACAATATTACGTAAAACTTCTTACTCATACTTAAGAAATATGAGAGTGAGTTTCTCAGATAAATCTAGTTAATTTTTTCTCTTGCCATAATTTTCTTCCAACTGACAATCTTGTATAACTTACAGAGATACAAAGTTGGGTAAACCTAAAGTTGCTCAGAGAATGACCAGAAACTGTTATTCTGATATATCTTTAATAATACCTTTAATAAGAGAGATAAATAAAAATAATCAGCACGATGTTATGATGGTCTAATAAACTTCTATTATGGCAGATATTTTTCACTTAGAATTCTGAATATATTAGTTAGTTGACCTAATGAATACTGGCTAGTGCTATAGTGCTCGTTTATGCACAGAATCCTCAGTGTGAGGATTAGTAAGAATCCTTACTTGTGAGGCTTAAAAATAGTGGTCTACCATAAATTTAAACAAACATAATTTATATATCTGTATATATAAACATGCACAGAAGATGTCACAGTAAATTTTCATGGCCGACATCACTTTGATATTACTTTTTTACTGTCTTTGGTTACCCACACAAAGTAAAGAATATATAAAATTTAATTTAAAAGCTAAAACAAATATATAAAATCCCCTGAAAGCTCCTATCTTTTTTATACTAGTGCATATTGAGTATCTTTAATCATARTATTTATTTGAAGATCACAGTTGATGCAAGGTTCAACTTTCTGAAAAACTGATTGTCTGAARCAGCGTGTAGTTTTAAATGCTGACTGCGCGGAGCCTGAATTTCTACTTGTGTACTAGTAAGTGTAAGATATGCAAAAATCTTGCTAAACAAGAATTCATTTTCYGTGGTGTGTTGTATTAAAAGGGAGCATTTTTCTGTGATGTAATCACAGTCTGATAAATTGCATAACTGTTGGGACGATCTCCTTTCTGGCAGATCTTTTACCACAGGAAGTTACTATTATGCAGTTGGGTCTATTTGTATCATTTTATTCTAGCACTCTTGAAATGTTAGTATTAAACCAGATTTTGATATGCTTAGCTTTTCTGAACRATATATATGCTCCTGAAACTTAAGAGAATTGTGCAGAAGGCACCCAGAAAATGAAATTCCATTAGTTGTTCCTTCAGTTCCTATTCCTATTCCTTCAGTTAAAAGTGTGTTCTCTACAGTGTAATGTTTGTACTCTCATGTAAGTCTTTGAAGGCATTTTCAATTCATGAAGAAATAACTTCCATCAGAATTTTTAAAAGTGAGAGGAASAGATGTCAGAAAAATTCTTGAGTTCTTAAGAAGCAGAAAAATGGAGGGTAAGCTATTGTTTGTGTGTGAATTGTTAATAGCGTTTAGCGTTTCTTATGCTTCAGATAAATGATTAATTTTCTCAAATTTCCCTAAAGAGCAGAGACTAAACTTTCTGCCTGATATAAATTTAAACAGTTTTTGGAATTAGTACCTACAAATGTTGAACTGAATAAATGTTTTTTCTATTATAATCATGGCTTTATTATTAATAAGTACCCTGTTAGCTCTGATTAATGTGAAATTCTCTGTTGGACCTCTTCTGTGCCTCTTCAGTAAAAATGTAAGAACTTAGTAATTATCGCATCTAAAGTAGMATGTCCTTTGAGTATACTGAAGCTCAAAGGCCAGCAGTGATAAACAGCTTGTGTGTACTTTCTGACCATTTTAGTTAAAACTGTTTAATTAGTACAACACAAGGATGAACACAGGGACTCATTTTACCATGGGGAGCTTACTGACAAAACATTTAAATCCTTTTTCAATTTGGTAATATCAGAGTTTAATAGCATCCCTAATATGGATTAGGAAAATGATAACATCTTCTTTATTTATTGTTCTGATTCTTTTACTTAAGCTTTTCATTCCCTGGCGATAGACGGGGAAAGAGGGTAAAAAACTTGGCCTTGTTTACCCTTGCAATGTGAAGGAAAGAGAGAATATAACTGGTCTTTGTACATAAACTTGGGATACAGAGTAGTGGCAGGGCAGAAGGAAGAGTTGGGAAAAGGTCAGCTGCTGATGAAAGTACAAATGCATACGAAATAACTGAAATAGAATGATTGCCAATTTTCAGTCTTAGTAGGGTCATTGGAAAAACATTCTAATAGAAGATAAGGAAACCAAAAATCTAATTTTGAATTTGAACTTTATATTTCATGAGAGGCGTTATGTGCTCTGGTTGTATATGGTARGGTAGTGGATTGAGAAAGGGCCTCTTCGTTTAGGTGCTGTTAAAATGAAGACAATCTTTAATATCTGTATGAAGATTTTTTTTACTCTTTCTGTCTAATGTTTTTWTAGATATCTTTCCATTAGTGACCACCTTTTGACATGTGGGGTTTTTTTTTATTTTTTTTTTAATCATGTTAAACATTCAGTAGCTGGTTTGGAGGATTTTTTTGTTGGATTTTTTTGTTTTGGGTTTTTTTTTGTGAAGGATGACAGACATTGTCAGAATTTTATTCATAAATAAGCTGGTCAAATCTCCAGAGCATGRTTATACTTGGAGGCAAAAGGATGGAAGGCAGTCTATAATACATTGGAATTAAAAATCGTGTCCTTCAGTCCCTCACAGTAATCTTGCAGGCTCAGCATCAGCTCAGCAGTACAGATTAACTTGTCCATATCTCCATTACTTTTACCCTGTTAAACTCCTTAAGAATTTAATGTAATTAAGTTTGGTGATTACCTTTCCATTTATCTGTTAATGTTGTTCTTCCCATTTTATTCTCTAATTTTGCTGTTTGCAGATCCTGTAATCTTTGTGTGTGTGTAAATGAAAAGGAAGGGTTGATAGTAAGACAAGT